TAAGGGGGGCTGGAAAGAGTTTAAACATAGGGCTAACAAGTGGATTAGAAGGTAGCTAAACCAATCTAGGGAGGAAATTAACAGAAGACCAAATCTTAGCTCATACTAGATTATATTTACTTGGAAAGTGAGAAATGTATGCAGAAAATGTGCAGCAGAAATTTCTGCAGTTTAGGTCACTTAGCTAAGACTCTTAGGGGGCATAATAAAGCCTTAAACCAAGGTAATTAATTGGCTTAAATGACAATTAACTGACTTGACAAAGACAAGTAAGAGAGACTCAAATTTGCTCAAAACTCTAATAAAACCTAACTAGAAGTATAGTGACATGAATGCTGAATTTTGTAAGCAGAAAATGGTGGGAAAGAATTTTGATTTTGGAAGAAGTACACACTCCTCTAAAGGGGCACGAAATAAAGCCACAATGAAGGCAAAAGGAGATTAAAGATAAGCATTAAGTTAAGAAGCAAGTAAAGATCAAAAGTAAACCAAACTCATAATCAGTCTCACACATGAATGTTGATAATTCTAATAAATTAACAGGCTTGGAAGATGGATTTTAAGCCTCCTAAGGGACACTTAAGAGAGCTGAAATTTAGCATAACCAAGGCAATTAAGGATGGTTTGATTAACTTAGTAAACAAAGGTTAGAAAAACCCTATATTTTGCTCAAAAACAGGATATACTTAATTAAGGAATGGGGGTATATGTGCAGAATTTGTATGCAGAAAATTCTGTTTTAAGGAAATGGTTTTAAGGGAATTATAAGCTTCTAAAGAGGTACAAAATGGGAGGTGAAATGAGGACCAAAGGGGAACCATAGAAAGACATAGAGTTAGGGAAGAAATAAAGGTTAAGTGTACACTAAATTTATAAATAAGTTTCACAAATAAACATTAAATTTCTTTTGGTCATTTAAGAGACTTGGAGATGATTTTTAAGACTCTAGAGCACATCTAAGGGAGCTGAGATGTGGACAAAGTTATGTCTAGAAAAGAAATTAAAGAAGGGTCTTAGGAGATCAGGAGTTAGAGAAGCAATTTGGAGACAATACTAAGTAGACTTGATTGGTGTATAAAGAATAGTAAGCTAAAATCTTCACTAGTCTAAGAAGACTTATGAAATGAGTTTTAGGGCTCTAAAGAACACTGATTGGGGTGGAACTCAAGTATAGTTAAGACTAATGTAGGGGTGAAGTCATGATTCTCAAGGAAATGAGAAACAAATACTTAGAAAGAAAATGTTATCAAGATCAAGTAAAGGAGAACATTATAATTAGACAATGCAAGGTAATTAGCATGCTTTTTCATTATGTATTTATTGTAGATTGCTCACATTTGCATATCCTCAGTTAGGAGAGGGCAATAGGCATATGTTAGATTTGTCAATCAGTGCCAAAAAGTCAACAGTAAGTTATATATAAGATAAATGACACTCTTTCTAAACTTATTATTCTTATGAACTGTGTTTTCTATGAACCAACCTAAGATGTTTTCAACGTGTATATTTTGTATATGAAAAACTTAGAAACAAATAGTTAATTTTCTATTTTTTGATACATGGTTTTTATGATGTTTTCTCAATTTTTATGTTTTGCTTATGAAATGCCAGGTAGTCATCTAAGCAAGTAATAATTTTACAAATCCAAATTATATATACCCCAATAGGGGCCCAGATGCCAAAGTTGTGTTAGTTGACCTTAGAGTGGCGACTCATGGTACCAGCTACATGGCATGTAGTGCTTGGCATATTTTGACGTTGTTTGCTTTAATGAGAGCTAGACTATGTCCTAGAGTTTATGTTTCATGTATATTGCTCTCACACATTATCCTATTGTGCACATCCGGCTAGAGCTTTATATATGCTATACATATGATATTTATGTTTTTTTTCCAAAGTTTTATATTCATGATTTGACATGAATTTCTGACATTGCAAGATAACAGAAATCATATGTTTTCCCCGTATTATGAGTTTCCACTATTTTTAGCTGTTGAAGATTTTATTAACTTTTCTACGTATATTGTAAGTGGAAAACCCTATCTATTTCCAATAAGTATAGTGTGTATGTTATTCACTAGGACATTAATCTCATTAGCCCTTCTACCTTCCAAATTATAGCAATGCACATTAGAAGGCATCAGTTCTGTATTTTCTGACCCTAGCATACACTAGCAGAAGTTGGCCAATCCCATAAATTAAACTGCTGCTATACTTAATTTATTTTGAGAGAGGATGAGATTTTATATTATGAATGTTAAATCTTAGTAGTCATGAGATATTTACAACCTGGATAGGTAGTGTGATATTATCAGATATGGTTGGTTTTATATAATTTTCAAATTCAGACTTTATTGTCATAGGATTACATGTTGCTTGTGGTATCATGTTATATATGTTTAGTAGGTACACAAACACAAGTTAACTTGAGTTATTTTAAGACAAGGATTACAGTAACTGGTCTGTTGTTATGCATTTGGCACTGTAGTGTGTTGGTTGCTACTCTAGTTATCATACCTCACTCGGTAAGTAAGGGTGGGGCGTGACAAAACTAGATTAAATCACTAATTAATTTCTCTAAATTTTTTATTAACAAAGCTTATTATTATTATTGTTTTCGTACTCTAAATTTTATAGTGGACTTTCACTTCCTTTTTTTTTCATCTCTACTATCTATCTCATCTAACTAAAATTATTTACAAAACATATCATAAAAGCCTATACTACACACAATAATGCAAGAATGTAAGGATAATAATATATTAAAACTACTACACTACTACAAAACAAATGTTGATTAGCCACAATTTTTTACCTACGGTTATAGTAATCGTGGCTAATCCAGTTAAAGGGGTGTTCGATTTGCATGATAAAGCAGAATAAGATAAACTTATCTTGCCTTATCATGCATTCGGATGGCATGTAACGAATCGTGAGAAAGGATACATATTAGTAGGAGGTGGATAATGTATCAGGCTGGTTGGGTTGGATAAAATTTTATTAGCGTTTAAATTTTTTTCTTTCGAACATAAATGCCCTTATGCATTGCCGGAATTACCCTTACTCCTTCCCATTCGGATAACACTGTGAAAACCAGTCTTCCTCCTCCTGCTGATCTCCGACTACAATTTTGGCTCTGCTTCCAACAATGACCACGAGCGCTGTTTCGCTCTGCTTGCAGTTTTCGCTGCAGTTTTGGCATCCTGATAACCAATTGGTTTGGTTCAACTGGGGTCGTCGGGTCACTGGAGGAATTTGGGCATGAGGATTGTTTTTTATGGCGGAGCAGACCTTGAGGGGTGGGAATGCCGAGGCCGAACCGTTTTGAGATGAGGCGAAGAGGTTCCCCTATGGCGAGCCGCCATATGCAAATTGCGACCTACTAGCGAACAGGGATGGTGAGCCGGAGCATTGTGTCCTTTTGGTCACTGCTGATTCAAGCTCGGTGCAGATCATCACAAGGTTAATTTGCTCAATCAAAAGCTCAGCAAAACTCGTCTTCTAGAATATCCAACCCGTTCACCTCCTCCCACCATGCCTTTGACCGGTTCTTCACCCATAGTCGACGCTGACCCCTGCCAGACCCACCGTCAGAAGTCAAAGCATTCGATTCCCGACGAGTCCGTTTGGCCGGAATCTGTTTGGTCTCATCCAAATCAGAGGTAAGCCCTTAAAATCGGAGGTCCTGTGTTTTTTTTAAACACATTATTGCAAAGGGCTTTTTAGTAAATTCAGAATTTTATCCTACTGGTCAAAAATTTTATCCTATTTGTTATCTATTGAACCAAATGTGTGATAAAACTATTTAATCTGGATAAATATTTCTAGTTTTATCCTATCACTCTATATCCTATCCTCCCATCCGAACGCCCCCTCAAACGTAACATTGCCACGTTTGAACTCCGTGGCTGGGACACTGTGGCAAAATATTTCATTCAGTGTGCCACACTATTTTCATCTCCCTCTTTTTTTTTTTACTCACATTTCGTAGGTTTTTTTCTTCCCTTTTTTGCTTCCCTCTTCCTCTATTATCACTCTCTAGGATCGAAAACCTACCTCTCTTGCCATTTGCAGCCTTCCTCTTCCTCTTCCTCTTCCTCATAAACTCTAACCTTCACTTTGCCCCCCTCTAGGAACAATTCTTCGCCAATGGATCTTGCAATTTGTATAATATCTATGTACAATGCTGACCCGACCGTCAAGATTGCCCATCCTAGTGGCATCTTCACGACCGATTCATCCTTGCGAAGAAGACCTAGAGGTCCTCCCCGATGCTGATCTCCGCCACTCGCCACCTACTCGCCAACACCCTCCTCCATGATCCCTTCAAACACTTCTTTGCTCTAATCTCATAGCATTGCATCCCCATACATTCGTGTGGGTTGAGTCTTGTTACCCTGAAGAGCATTACTTCCCTACTCTACTTTACATGGAGGATCCAGAAGGTTGTACTCATTATGCACTGATGAGGAATAATTGGACGGATAGCGTTGATGGCCACCCGCATACATATCATCCACCAGAGGTGTCCTCGTAGTTGATTTACGAGCTCTGAAGTCGAATTTCACGCATTCTTACTTGTTGGCAGGAAATTCTTGCTGGATTATTTTAATCCGTTGTTAAATATCTTTGATTCTGTCATTTTTCAAGACTAAGATCTGCTTTCAGTAAGAGTTAGTTACTCAGGTGGGTCTTTAAAACTACGTTGTTATGGTCTGAAACTTTTGTTTAATGTACTAAGTCAACTCGGTTTGTGCTTAGTTGGGCTTAGTTGAATTAGGAGATGTTTTAAAATTATTGTGGTCTTTTTACCTTCTTTCTATGATTTTTATTGGGCTAATTATCTAAGGATTTTTGGTTAGGCATTTCTGCAAGATATTTTTGGTAAGGCGTATATCCAATGGAGAAAACAAGTCAGTTACCTCTTCCTGGACAATGCCAGTTGAATTTGAATAAGTCATTTCAACTATCTACATTTTCTTGTCTAACGACTTGTTCCAATGAGGTAAATTGTCGTTTATATGAACAGACTTTTCCCTTTGCATTTATCTATTTGAGCTTCTTTCCCCTTTATCCTTTTAGTTTTCTTTTTTGTTTTTTAGAGGACATAGTTTCTATTGGGTTAGATCTCTTGCACTTAAGACAAACCTCGAGCTACTTCTTATGTTTGAAACACTTTTGAAACTTAAGATATGGTTTACTTAGCACATAACATTTCCAAATGCTCATTGGTTCTTTTATGAGGAGAGACTATATTTGGTATATCTTAAGTTAGATTAGATGTGTGGTTTTAGTAGAAATAAATCTTGGGTGAAGGTTAGTTTAGATGTTAGACATAAATTAGTATTATTGGCATGTGTACCCTAAAGTTGGATTTGAGAGTCCTAGACATGCCTATTAATTATGAACATATTTGCAATTATATGGAATATTAAAAATCAGTTTTCTTAGCACCTATCCTCGCTAGATTTAAAATTTTATCTTACTATTAAGTCCAAGCTGGTTTTTCTCTCCACATTATTTAGAAGGAAAGGAGTTGAAGGATCGACCAGAATGCATTGAAATTGCTTAGGCAGCCTTTGAAAGCAGCTTCTCTTTTTCTTTCTATTTTGAGAAATGTTCTGCAAAAGTTTTTTGCATAACCATTACATTTGTTCCATGTCTGTGAATAGGAAATCTCTAAAGCATTTGGGTCATTCACTAAAGCTAAGCAAGAAGCTCTCCATTGTCTTTTTCTTCCGGTATGTATTCTATCTTACTTATTTTATTTTAATTTTCTGCTATCTGTGGTGCCTTTACTCTATTTAACAAAGTTACTTCCAACAAATTACAAGCATTGCACCTTTGGATTTTTTGAACTTCATATCTTGGGCAATAAATCTTTAATGCAATGTTATCATTCTCTGAACCCTCTGAGTATTGAAAACATTAAGGTCTTTCTTTTTTTTTTTTTTTCCATTATGCAATTACTAATCATGCTGTTTAATATGAGGAAGATGCATTGATAACTTTGCCAAGTGGATATCCCTATTTTGCCTTTAATGGACAATGGTATGCAATACCTCAAAGCAACCAAGGATAAATGAGAATTGGAGACTGGTTTGATACGTATTGTATACTGATATTTTCTTTTCTCTTTGCTATTTAGCGACGTTTTCTTCATTACATTGTGAAGAAAGTGTTGGTATTTGGTTTAGTATGTATGGGTGAATTTTTACTGTATGCATTAAATACAATGTTAGTACTAGTGAAGAAAATGTCTATTTGTGAATGTTGAAGAAATGTCACCATATAGGCTAAGAAATTGTGTTTCACACTTTCTTTTCTCTGAATAGTGACCTCTTTATTTCTTCCATAGGTTTTTCCTAATATACAATTTTCATAGTCACTTTGATCAAATGAGTTAGCTTACTGTCAAGATACAACTCAACCTCTAACTCTTTTCCAAAAGTGTCCCCCTAAAAGATGGGTCTGGGATGCCAACCACTAATTAATAATGCATAGAGGCTATTAAGGGTTTAAATTTTAATAAATTGCTATTTTTAGCCTTAGCACAACATTTAGTTGAGTATTGTTTTTAGCAATCCTCCATTGAACTTTCATGTGGCTTAATAATTACTTGATTTGTTCTTGTGCACACATTGGATAATTGTTAGAAGATACTTAAATTTATCTATTCAAATAGCAAGCAAACAATACAAGCAAAGGAAGAATATGCACTCATGTGTGCATTATTGCATGAGAGAGTAAGATGCTAATTTTCATTGGTTGGCTTCTAACATTATATTGTTTTCCATTTAAATCAAGTTCGATTTAATATTCATGCCATATTTGGAATTCTCAAGATATTACTTCTTTGCATGGGAACATCGAGGCATATATCCTTCACTTTGCCTTTTGTGTGTGTGCGTGTGTATGTGTGTGTGTGTTTTTGTTTTTGGTTTAGTTTCTTTAATCTGTTTGACAAGTTTTTGTCTCTTATTGTCTAAAGATTGTTGCATTGTATCCTTCTAATTTAAGTCCTTTATTACAATAAAAAAATCATGGCTTAGTAGCACAGATTATTTCTAAAAATTCCATTTTCTCTTGTGCTTGTTGGTCATGTCTATAATTGTGTCCAGAACTTGTTGACAGGTGTTTATAGAGCAAATTCTTAAAATTTTTGGTAGTTTTGGATGCTAGATTCCCAACTCATAATCATGTTGTTCAAGTTATGCTGCTACTCGAGCATTAGAACATTGTACTTAACAATGAGTGATTTTTGGTTTCTCATTTGAATGCTATAAATAGAGCTCTTTAAATTGTGTAAAGGTGTTATAGTGAGCAAAATCTTTATTTTGTAGTACTAGTAGCATATTTTACCTAGAGATATTTGAGATTTTTTTTAATGTATTTTTGAAGGATTTTAGTTGCTTCTTTAATTGTAACCAGCTTGCCATGATACTTTATGTTCTTAGTTTTGAGAATGTGCTTCTTTGTTAGCACAAATTGTTTTTGTTGATTACACTTTTAAGAAATCAAAATATTTCTTAATTGCTTCTATTCACAACATTGCTGGATAAGATTACCTTTTATAAGAATAGACCAAGAAGAAAAAAGTTAACATAGATTTTATTACCAACTTCTCAAACCCTTTTGACCTTTTTCCACTAAATACTTGTAGATAAATTGCCTTTTTCACCCCCCAAGTTTTTGTTGATTTTTTTTCCACATGGATATATTATCTACAGAAGTTCATACCCATCATACTCTATCAGATTTTTTTCTTTCCTATTGATGAGCCAAATCCTATAGACTTCTCTATTTTTTCCTTTTGCCAAAGCCTTAACCATTTCTTTTTCATCTCAAACTTAATATTGATCTCTTCGTTATTTTAAACCTTCAGATTGTTGATGCAGTTGTGGTGGCAAAAAATCTTGGAGCAACTCTTGTATTGCCAGACATAACGGGAAGCAAACCTGGTGATAAGAGGTTAGTGTTCATAATAGCATTTTAAAGCACCTTTTATGTAATTTCCTGAATTGGAGCTAGCCAGTGATTCAATAGTGTCACATAACATTACTATGAAATTGATGTAATCTTTGGCATAGTGTTGTCTAAAGCACCTAGATTGTGCATGTAAGAAGAAGAATAAAGGATGGAGCAAGTTTCTATCCTTATGAATTGGTTGTTAAAGGATTAAACTTCTCTAGTGGGTTCTTTGACTTCCGTGGGAACATGTGAACTTTTTACTTTAGTAGTTCTTTGACTTCTGTCTTTCTATTTTTATTTTCCATTTCCTTTTTGGAGGCCTTCTTGGTGCTACATTTGAATTTCTAATGGTGTAAAACAAGGATTAGTGTTAGAGAGGAATCTAAATCCTAAGTGCTCTCTCTCTCTCTCTCTCTCTCTCTCTCTCTCCGTGCGTGTAAATTTATTTAGAATGGTCCTTGTTATGCTGATGCTTATTTTCATGCTGCAAAAAAGCTTTTAGATATATCAAAATACTTTATGAGAACTAGATTTATAACTTCCAAAATAGACTAAATGGAAGAATTTGGATATCACTTTGCAACATAATCAGATGTTCCATAATGGCACTGGAAAGTGTTCTTGTTGGCACGTTTAATATTTTCTAAATTTAGTATTGGAGTCCTTAATGGCATAACATGCTGAAGCAAGAGTTAGGAATCTGAATATTTGTTAGAGCCTTCTTCAAGCTTCTTCTAGTAATGATAATGATTTTGATTATGGTATTCATTCTCCTTTATGCCATATGTAAGGGTTTTCACATGACATATGCAATTAACTCAAACTAGCAAGAGCTGGATCTCCTTTCTAAATGAATCATAGTTGGAGTGTTTACATACCAAATGTCCATTTAAAAAATCTTGCTGAGAATTCTTGTGCTTATTACAAGGTATATGGAAAGTATGATAACCTATTCAACCATGAATGGACATGGTATAAATAAATTTTTTACTTGGGAGTGTCGAAACTTACACACATTATAATCTGAATCTCTTCATTAAAGATAACATTGTACTTACAGAGCATCTGTTAATAGAAAAGCCACAATTATACTAACATGCTGAAATCTTCCAGGGATTTTGGAGACATATATGATGCAGATAAATTTGTAAAGAGTCTAGAAAGGGTGGTTAGAGTGTCTAAAGACCAACCTATAGGGATATCATCAAGGAACCTTGCAGTTGTCAGAGTTCCAAATCGAGTTATTGAAAACCATATTGTTGAACGCATTGAACCAATTTATAGTACAAAGGCAACATAAAGCTGGCAACATACTTTCCTTCAGTGAATATGAAAAAGGGTGAGCAAAAAACCAGCACGAATTTTGTGGCATGCTTAGCAATGTTTGGAACTTTAAAGTTACAACCAGAGGTTCATGAAGTGGTTGATTTGATGATTGAGTGCCTAAGAACTTTAAGTCGGAAGTCATATGGCCGGTTCATTGCTATGGACTTGAGGATTGAAATGTTGGAGAATGATGATTGCTAAGGAAGTGTTTCTTTTTGAGTAAAAAGTTGTTACAGTCTAGAGGAGATTGCATTATTTTTAAGGAAGATTGGTTTTGACAAGGACACTACTTTATACTTGACCTAGTCTCAGTGGGATAGTAGCCTTGACACCCTAAAGGACTTCTTTTTGAAAACTTATACAAAGGTAACTGATTTCTTCCTCGCTTTCCTTGCTTACATTCTAATACAGACTAGTACAAACTTTTCTATGTTGAATCTTTTAGTGATTCTAAATTGACTTTTCTAATGCTCCATTGTGTATTTGAACCCAAATTCTATACTTTAGAAGTGTGTGGTATACAACTGCCAAGAAACATTTCTCTCTACAGCCTTCAGAATTCTTATTGGACTATTTGTGGCATTGTATATTTTTATTACTTGACTCTTGCTTCTTGCTAGATAGAAATCACTTTGATGTGGAACTCTAAAGTGCTCTTCAACAGAAAGGAAAATAAGAATACGGTAACATTTTTATACCATAAATTCAGTTGTGGAAGCATTGTAAATAATGGTGTCATCATGAAAATGAAGGTACAAAATGGGTTCTGTCCCAAAAGAACCTAATGTCGTACAGGGTAATATCTGAGAATTTATGAAGACGCTGTCCCATTGTTTGCGGTTAATTGTTTGTGACCAAGGATTTTACCAAATGATGGATACGGGCAGAGAAGCATGACAGACCTATTCCAAATTGGACAGCCCTTCCTTGTATAATAATGCTAGAAAATAAATTTTATATATCAGTAGATTCATTTCTTCAACTATTTCCGGATTTGTGCTAGATGTAAATATTTTACACTGCATAAAATGGGGCTACATTTGTTGTGATAACTATTGCAGGAAAGCATATTTCTTTTTTCTTTTTTTTTATTATTAGCCAATATTTAACCGTGGCTAACCAATATTTTTTAATATTTTATTTTTCTTTTTTTTTATTAGAAGCCAAAATGTAGCCATAGTTATAACTGTAACTAACCAATATTTTTTAATATGTTATATTTTTTTATTATTAGCCAAAATTTAGCCATAGTTATAACCGTGGCTAATAAATATTTTTTAATATTTTATTTTCATTTTTCATTACTAGCCACGGTTAGAACCGTGGCTAAATTAAGATCTAACCGAGACAAAAAAAAAAAAGGTTGCCACGGTTCATAAAACCGTGGCAAAAAACATGGCAACGCCCTTGTTAGCCACGGTTTTATGAATTGTGGTAACCTCATTTTAGCCACGGTTTTTGTGCATATTAGCCACGATTTTGACTATACCTAAATACCAATTTTCTTGTAGTGCTACTAGCTTTGGGATGTTACACAGCATCCATAGGTTTGCATTGCATGGAAAGACTAATTTATTAACCAGTCCCAAAATTAAGTTCAATGGTTCCTTAGTTCTATCATAATTGAAATGATTTTATAATAGAAAATTAATTTTTAATACTTTATATTAAATATTAACAATAAAATAAAGACAGACAGCGTTGCAAAATTAAAAAACAAAGAATTCATGTCAATTAAAAATTAATTCATAGAGGCAATAACAGTTTTCAGTACAAAAGATGATCAAATATTAATAAAGGTCATCAGAAACAACTACAAATTTCATTGCAGAAACTAAAACAAATTAATAGTTGCTGAATTATATGTGCATTTAAGATTTACTAGTTGGCCATATTTTATAATTACTTTTATTAACTCGTGAATGTATTTTAATTTTATAGAGGTCATTTTTCTAATTTTTCCACATAGAGGACGTGGGGGAGAGAGAGATGTCTTGCAATTAAATTAATTAAGTTGTCATGGTGACATATTGAATAACTGTTTTTGTTTTGACCATTCTTTATTATAAAAGACTAGTAAAAATGGGTTATAAATAAGACCATCAGATTACACTTATCAGCTGTATCTTTTTTGGGTCCCACGGCACCTTCCTCTACTTTCATTTTCTTCTTCTTCTTATTTTCCTGCTGTTGCATTGCTATGAGATCTTGTTTATGCTCATCATTCACCACCATTGTCAGCTATACCTTCTCAAATGGCTATTAATTTCGATGATCCAAGCAGATTTGGTAATTTCAAAAGCAGAGAAAGTAGAAGAAGGAAAAGGAGAAGCAGAAGCAGTACTATCAAGGGGGGCAGGAGGAGCAAGGAAGCTGAGGGCAAATTGGTTGCCTCGGTTAGGGTAAACCCATCGCTTCAGTCAAGTCCTTAAAATAGAGTTTAGGCAAACATCTTCTTTAAACCCTCAAATCAATTTAATTTAGCCCAATCGACCTTTAACTGGCTAACAAACATGTGCAAATATTGCTCAATGTGGGTAAATCCCGCATCTAAAAGAAAAAGAAAAAACAAAATAGTAGTTAAAACAAACAAGGGAAATTTCAAAGGGGCGTACTAGTCAAAGCCTTTTTGCTTTTTTCGTGTGAACTTGCTTCCCCCTCAATTCAAAAAGTAAGGCAGGAAACAGGAAAGGATAAATAAATAAATAAATAAATAATACTACAAAGTGATTACGGCGCCATCAAATCCGTTGCTTAGTTCGCCTTTTTTTTTTTTAAACGAAATTTGGGTTTCATTATACTAGGTCTATTACTGTTCGTGAATCAAGCCCGGTCCAGAATTGAACTGCTAGTTCCAGTTCAAAAAAAAATATAAATTAGGACTAGAACTTTGATCATTGATTGGGTTTTGATTCTTGCTCATTCACGGTTTGAGCCTAATTGAGTTCAGTTTTGATTCGTTTTTACTTGAAAGAGTTTAGATGTTAACTTATAAATATTTTTAAATCACTAAATATTTTTTTGAATAAAATAAATATTTAATATTATAAATATTTTTTTAATGTTAAATATAAAAAAATATTTAATAAAGAATTTGAACTTAATTGTGTATCAATTAAAATGGTTAAAGTTTAGAGGAATCAAAATTCATTTAATTGTCTTACTTTGATTAGTATACCTCTTTATTTTTTATCTTATTTTTTACTATCTCATGTTCTCGTTATTGTTTCTTTATTCTTCTCTTGATTTGATTCTACGATAATTTTTTATTGTCTATACATGGTCTTGGTCCAATCATCAAAATATAATTGAATTTTAATATTTATTAGACGTATCCTTGAATGAGTTTCATCTAAAATTTGACCTCTTAAACTAAAAATTTGTTTAATCAGAATTATTGAGACAGGCAATGCCAAGATGTCCTGTGCCATTATGTAACTTTCTTTTTAATATATATAACAAAATAAATATTGTAACACATTTTGAATTGAAAACATCCAATTGGAATTATGTGGTACTTCATACTTTTATTTAAATTGTTGAATGACAATTTAACTTTAAAAAAAAAAAAAGTGTGATAAGAGCAATTACTTAAAATATGAATTCTCTGGCACCTTGAGAATTTACACCGAAGTTTTCATGCGTCTTGTAGAAAAAAAAAAAGTAAACAGAAAATGTTAGCAAGATATATAGCTTAAAGTGTAGATTCTTTGAAAGAGAAATGACAACTAAAAAGTAATGATAACTAAAAGTAATGACAAAAAAAAATCGAATAAAATCAAAATAAATGATAATTTGATAATTTAATTTTAAAAATAAAATATGAATTTTAAATTAATCAAGTTGTCACGGTGACACGTTGAAAGCGGCAATGTGAAACATATCTGAAAAAGTGTTTTTGTTTTGACCCTTTTTTGTTATAAAAGAGCAGTAAAAGTGAGTTACAAATAAGAACATCAAATTACACTTTTACGCGGTATCTTCTTTTGGTCCCACGGCACCTTCCTCTACTCTCACTTTCTTTCTCTACCTCTTCCTCTTCTTCTTTTGCTACTGTTGCATTTTCTTTTCTTTGATTGCTATGAGAGCTTGATTATCCTCATCATTCATGACCGTTACCGGCTATACCTTCTCCAGTGGCTATTAATTTCGATGATCCAGGCAGATTTGGTAAATCCAAAAGTGGAGGAAGCAGAAGCAAAAACAGAAGCAGTACAACTAAGGGAGCAAGGAAACTGAGGGCAAATTGGTCGCCCAAGCTCGGTTAGGGTAAACCCATCTCTTCAGTCAAATTCTTAAAATAAAGTTTAGGCAAACCTCTTCTTTAAACCCTCAAATCAATTTAATTTAGCCCAATCCGACCTTTAACTGGCTAACAAACATGTGCAAATATTTCTCAATGTGGGTAAACCGTGCATTTTAAAGAAAAATAAAAAACAAAATAATAGTTAAAACAAACAAGGGAAATTCCAAAGGGGTATACTAATCAAAGCTTTTTAGCTTTTTCCGTGCGAACTCACTTCCCCCTCAATTCAAAAAGTGAGGCGGGGAAACAGGAATAGATAAATAAATAAATAACAGTACAAATTGATTACGGTCCGATCAAATCAGTTGCTTTGTTTCCCTTTTTTTTTTAATAACGAAATTTGGGTTTCATTACATAGAAAAGTCTCAAAAGTTAGAAGATTTTCAAAAGTCCATGGGCCAAATAGCCCTAAAATCATAGATTCGTGATGAGAGGGCAAGAAACTAAAAATTATATATAATTTATGTGATTATATAAATAATTATAAAGTGCTTGGAAATATTAAGTATAATTCTGTTAATTTTAGGTTATGAGAAATGACTTCTTTGTGGCAGTGAGATAGCATGCACAGGAGTTGTTGGGTTTTGAGTATAAAAGTTGAAATGATATTTTTTATATAAATTTTATAATATCTTTTTCTAATTATAGTTCGTCAATATAAAATTATATTATATATAATAACGTTAAAATTATTATTAAACAATATAAATTTAAATATTTTAAATTAATAATTCAAATTCAATAAATTAAAAAAGTAAAGAAAATTATCGTCAATGTAAAAATAAAAATGTTTTTGCTTAATTACATAATTTACATGTCATTTATTTATTTTTTATCTTTAATATTTATTGTTAAATGATATATATGTAAAGTATGATTAAAGGTCGGGCAAATAAATTCCATGTAGAATTGAGTATTTTGAATTCAACCAAACGCTGGCATGTTTCCTTTTCATGATACTGCAAACTGATAGCGATAGGAAGTCTAAACTAAGTGAAGG